ATTTTCTGTAAGTACCACCACGGTAGTCCTATGCCTTGGGGGACTTAAATAACCATTGACCCTCGTTTGACCACTTTGTGGTCCCCTGTTTGTCATGGATCCATTGACCCCTGTAGTGATTGTCACTTAGTGACCCCTGTTCTGTTCTGTTGTATACCGTGGTTATAGTGATTTATTTCAGTTTTTGCCGCTTAATTAATTTGTGTCTTCAACTCAAATTATGTTAATGTTTTAGTTTAAATAATTATCCATGGCTATTTTGTGCCCCTACACTCACAGTATAATATTTCTCACTCTGCTATGTGCTTATAGCTGTTACCCCTTTCAGGTAACGAGGTTTAGCGGGATCAAGATGGAAAATGAATCACTGTGTTGTTTTTTTTTTAAATCTTTTTTTTATTTCTATCTGTTTTGTTTTAACTCTTGTAATATAATAAAGTTCAAATGACTATATTTTATTCCCTTTTAAATAAGCATTTGGTACCCAATTATTTTATTTAATTTATCCGCTTGCGCTGCGACTACAAAATTATTTGAATTATTTTATTTTTATCTTGTTACGACGTCGAGACTTTGGGTACCGGGTTTGGGTCGTAACAGAGTATGCCATTGTAGTTCATAGCATTGAGTGCCATGTTGTCGCATGATTGATCACTGCATTGTGCCTGCCTTGTTCATCTCATTATGTATGTTAGTTTCCATGTGCATTGCGTATGCTAGCGTCATGAGCATTGTGCATGCCATGTGGTTTTAGCATTGTGTATGCTAGGTGCATGTTTCCATATTCATCCTTTGCATGTTTGCATGGCTAAGTGGCATTGCATTAGGATTGCCTGCTAGAGTTGCAGTGGTGCATACCATGTTTGTTGCACTGTGTTTGGGATAGGAGTTAACCTAAATACGGGAAATGAGGGATGTTGCATACTCGAAGTGATGAAACATGCCTCGATTCCCGATCGCCGACACTCTTGACTACACATGATGGAGTTTAGGCATTTATGTGTTCATATGTGCATTCATTCTATATTAAGTTGTGCAATTCGTTTCCTCGGCCATCATGCATCGAGATGCGTGTTTGGTGGCCCGAGGATCGAGACCTACACTCCCTTGAGCTTGTACAATGATGGGGAAAGTGGTCGTGCACACACATGTTGAAAATACATTGCCATGCCTCTCTCTTGCTCCTTGTTGCAGAAAACCAAAAACCAGAGGCAGAAACTGGTCGGCCGACCAACTTTTCTGGCAGGCCGACCACCCCTTTTGGTTTCTCCCACAAAAGGTGGTCGGCAGGTGGTCTCCAAGGCCAATAGTTGGTCGGCAGCCTTCCTACAAATTCCCAGGGTGGAGTTTCAGCCTTCTAGAGCCTTGTGTAGTGTTCTGAGGTTAATTGCAAACAAAGGCAAGTCGGAGTGTCGCGAGGGATTTCCGAACAAGGCAATTCAAGCATGCATGCATCCTTCATCATCCAAGGCAGAGCTAATGCAGTCTGTTTCATGTAGTTTGCATGATAGTTTAATTGCTTGCCTAGCTAATTTGCGAATTAGTTAGAGTTATGTAATAATTAGCTGTAATTTATTATTCATTTTGGTTGTGTAATAATTTGCTTAGATTAGCTAGTTGATTCTGTAATATTCATTCGGACCCTCCGTCGAGAAGGCAATGTTGTAAATAAGTGTGCGTGTGTGTGATGCATGTTTTCCAACCCCCATTTCTTTCTCCCTTTTATTTACTGGCTTATGATGGTTAGTTTTAGGGTATGTTTCAGTTAGCATCCTTATGCTCGCATGTTCGCATTCATTCATCTGTCTTGCATGCACTGGGCTCGGCGCATCATACTAACTGCATTGTATTTCAATTCTTATTTAAATAGATGTATCAAATTGCATTTCACATAACATTTTAGAATAGCCGAGCCTATCTTAGTTGCATCCTGCATGTGTTGCATTAGGCATCTCAGCATAGTTAGGATTCATGCATGATTTCTAATTAGCTTCTTTCTTTGGCTTGGAGTACTTAGTGAGTGTTGATGCTTTAGCATCCTTGCATGTGTGTGAGTGACTGCCATGATAGCATGCTTGCCATGAGGCTAACTGCTTATGTGATATACCTGCCTGAATGCCTGTAGGTGAAGGTTGGATTATTTAAATTGGAACAATTCATCGATTGCGAGTTTTAAGCCCACTTAAGAGCGGCAAATCACTATGTTTTCTAAGCCCACTTGAGGGTGGCAAAATCCGCATTTTAGCCTACTTGCGAGTAGCAAACCACTTTCAAAAACAAACATGAGATGTTTTGTTCTAACTTGGACGATCTAATCTATACTTGTACGCTGTGCGCATCACATAGCAATTCTAGGCTAATAAACCAGAATAAGAGCACATATGTTTTCCAAAACAAGATATCATGTTTAGTAGTGGCCGATCTTTGATCGGGTGAGCGGGGGTGCTCATTGCATGACCTTCCCCAATCGTACCCAAGTTCTCGAGCCGAGACAACTTTGGTGATGACAGACACGTGGCCTTAGGGACGAGTCAGGGTTTCCTAAATTTTTTCAAAATAAATTATTTAGGTGGTGACTCTATATCTGGCAAAGCAGTCCATGATTGGCACTTCTTTCTAAAAATCAGTTTTTCAAAACGATTTGCCGGATTTGGACTCTTTGGTGGTTTATCAATCTCGTATTGCACTTTGCGAGATCAGATTAAGAACCGTGACGTTGAGTCCGAACTGTAGTGAGCCTAATGGACAAAACGGGATTTTTTCCGAGAAGTCCAGGGACGTCTACAGGGTGACAAATATATTTTTGTCTTGAAAGAATAAGTTGTGGGTGACGAAAATACTTTGTCACTAATAAATTCTCCCTTTGTAACAAAATCTTTTTGTTAAGTAGGCGACAAATATATTTTTGTCTTGGAAGAATAAGTTGCAGGAGATAAGAATATTTTGCCACTAATAAATTGAACCTTTGTAACACGGATTGTGATTGATTGCGCAACAAATATATTTTCGTCTTATAAGGTTAAATTGTGAAAGACAAACATATTTTGTCACCAACGATAAATTCTCTATAAACGACACCGTTCTTGTATTTTTATTGATTTGGCAATGAACATATAAGTTTAAGCAAACGGAAATATTTTATCATTAATTATTTCTCTTTATTAAATTGCTGTCATTTTGTGTTTTGGAGCATTGAAACAGTGACTCGAAGACATTCACTCTCACTCTTATCACTCATTTTCACATATACAGACACTGAAGTCATGACCTAAGAAGACACTCTCTACAAACCCTTATTTCTTTCTTGCACTTGAGCCAACTCCTTTCTCACAAGCATTAAAGTCGTGACTCAAGAAGACACTTTGTATACCATTTCTTTTATTTCGCACTAAAGCCCCTGTCTTCTGTCTCACACTTAAGCCCATCGTGCATGCAAGCATTGAAGCTGTTATCCAAGAAAGACACCTTATAAAAACCAACTATTCTTTCTCAACCAATTTTCTCTGGACTGAAATTTCTCTGCACCAATTTTCTCTGGACTGAAATTTCTCTGGATCAATTTTCTCTGGACTGAAATTTCTCTAGATCAAGGTTGAGGGACCTTAGACATTATGAAAATATTGTTGATGGACCTTAGACATCATAAAAATATTTAATGTCCTTTATGCTATAAAATCATAATATCAAGGACCTTAAAAAAAAACCCCATATATATATATATATAGAGTACATTGTCATTTTTTTTTTCATAAATATTTTACTTCTTAAGTATATTTAAATTAGGTGTATTTAAAAAAAATAACTTCAACTTGATTTTTTCATATTATTGTTTGCTATTTTTGAACTTTAAATTTTTTTTTATTTAAATTCTCATAAATTATTTTTAAACGAGTTTTCGTTTGTCTTTATTAAACTTTATTTATTTATGTTTTATTTAATTTTTTATTTTTTACATTTTAGATACACAACTAAAAGTAAAAAAATTGACTAAAATATAAAATAAAAAATCACTAAGGCTTATGATTCATTTAAAAATTGTTATTGAAAAATGAAACCAAACAAAACTTTTTAATTTTGTCATAAAAATCAAAAAAACGGGTTTTCTTTTGTAATAAAATTTTTTAATTTGGTAAGAAAAAAAATTTGTTACAAAAAGAAGTCAAATATTTGGCTCTAAGCATAACAATACACATCTAAAATTGGTGATTGGTGACAAAATTTATTTTGTCTTAAAAAAATACAAGAGTTAATTATCTAAAAGTCTTATTTATAAATGTTACGATAGATCAGGTCCTATTTAAGATTTTACCAATAAGTTATATTTAGTAAAATTGACAATATTACAAGTTTTTTTTTTCAATTTTTAAAACTAAGAATATTATCAATTTTGTATAGTAATGTTTTATATAATTGTTTCACTAACTGATAAAAAAAACTGAGTATGAGATTAAATGTTTTTGCCTTTTTAACTTTTTGGTTTGATTCAACTATTCAATAAAATCAACAAGATTATCAGTTTTTTTCAATTTTAAAACTAAGAACAATATGAGTTTTTTTCATTTTTAATTTTTTTTTTTTTGTTTTGCACATCAATGTTCCATCATTATACTTCTTTATAGACATAGAAGTTTGCACAAAAAAATCATTTAGGTTTTTCAAAAAAACATTTGTTTTTTTTTTTTTTTTGCACATAACTTTTTTTAGTTTTTTTAATTTGAAAATTGATATTTTAAAATTTTAAAAATCAAAATAAATAACAAATTATGATGTTCCTTTATAGATAATTATAAATGTTGAAACGTCATTGTTTAAATAATAATTCTGACTATTAAAAATTTAATAAAATTTGAAGATTTAATATAACATAAGTCCATAAATTAAGATTTTTTTTGTAAATGTCTCAAAAAAAAAATAAAAATTGGGGGGCTTATTATAGAAAAAAAAAAATATATTTGCTCACAAAAAAATATATAAAATAATTGATAGATATCAAAATGACAATTTATTTTCTTTGAGGTCTGAGAAGCTGATGGGGTGTGGATCTTCAGGACTCACAAATTTCATCTCTGTGTCTCCTCTGCTCTCTCTCTCTAACTTCGGTTTGCTTACCGTTGCAACCCACCAAGAGGGACCTGCTCTTTGCTGATGCATTCCTCCACAATCTGATTGGAAGGGACTCTCACGGTACATGTATCTTTCTCTATCTCAGGATTTAGGGTTTTATTTTCGAATTTTAATTCTGAAATCTTTGTCTGTGACTGGTGATTATTGATTGGGGTTACTTCAGATTTTTCTTTTTTGGATCTTGTGGTTTTCCTGATACTTTGACGGATGCTTTGAAATTATTGATGTTTGGATGTTTATCTATGCAATACAGGCATTTCTTTACTTTAGGGTCAATGAAGATATTGAGTTCTATTTTATTTGGATTTTTGATTTTGAAGTTTTTCTTGTGGACTTTAGCATGCCAATTATTCTATTATTCATTCACAGTTGGTTTGATTGCGTATTAGTTTTACCATTGAACAAATCGTCAGCCAAATTCTATAATATCACTAAATGCTCGCCAAGGGGTCGATCCTTCCTTACTATAGGCTAGGCTGAGTTGAAGAGTTATGAAAGATTTAAGATTTTGAATCAAACTCAAACCTAAATTCCCAAATATAATTGGTTTTCCTAGTAAATCTATTCCTAAATTCCTAGGAGCATTGGTTTAAGAATTTAGGTTTTAAACCAATTATAATTTAAGTTCTGTTTATGGTATAGTTTATTTAAATTATATTTGAGTTCTATTCCTAAATTTCTAAAACCAATTTGCAGAGCAGTGGTTTTCCATATTTCTGCCCCCAAGATTCTCCACTATGCACTGAGCATTCAAACCATCAGATCTGGGTTAAGCCCATATTTCCTATGGTTTGAAGATTTGATGAGAGAAATAGAAAAAGAAAAGGAAAGGTAATCCCACCTTTTGTTTGGTTACAATGGAATGCATAGGGAAAAGAAACGGAAAAGAAAGTGGGAAGGAAATGTAATCCCACTTTTTGTCTTTTAGGTTCACTTGCACTATGTTTGGTTGGGATTTGAAAAGGAAAAGAGAAAAGATAAGTAAAATATGAATAAAATATACCTATATTTTACTTAGTTCACACATTTTATCCTTTCTTTTTCCATTTCCAATCCCTTAAACCCAGTGTTGGCCTCTTTTCTTTCTCCATTTCTCAACTCAACCAAACATAACTTGGAGTTCAAATCCTATCAATTTTTTCTCTTTCCATTTCCCTGTCCATTTTCCTTATCAAGTCCTTCAACCAAACCCTAAAAAATATTCCTAGGAACAAACTAAAAAAAGAGATAAGTTCAACAAACTAAAAAAAAACTAATCATAACTAAATAAGTAAATTAACAAACTAGAATGCACAAATTTTATGTGAAAATCATAAAGGCAATCACAAAAAGAAAACATTTTACAATTCAAACAAGGTTTAGTTAAAATATGGAAACACATTTCTAGGGTTCATCAGTCTTCAAATCCATTTACAAGAAGAGATAAGTTACAAATTTCAAAGAGAGGGAGAGAGAGATTTGAGAGTACGGTACCTGGTTGGTCGGAGCAAGTCTGTCGGTGCCGGAGAAGGTGAAGCCCTTCACTTTAGTCTTCTGTGAAATCGAATAAGCCCCAATTTTAACGAGTAAAGAGGAATCCTATATATATATATATGTACTTAAACCACCCAAATCGTTGATTCAACCGGTAACCTGTTTAACTCGGACCGGTTCTCTAGAACCGTCTGGTTTTGGTATATATATATATAGGGTTCCTCTTTACTCGTTAAAATTGGGGCTTATTCGATTTCACTAAAGACTGAAGTGAAGGGCTTCACCTTCTCTGGCGAAACTTAGCGGCACCGGTAGACTTGCTCCGGCCAACTAGGTACTACACTCTCAGATCTCTCTCTCTCTCCCGCTCTCTGGTGAAATTTGTAACTTATCTCTGCTTGTAAATGGGTTTGAAGACTGATGAACCCTAGAAATGTGTTTCCAGATTTTAACTAAACCTCCTTATCGCTTTGTTTTATCTTGTTTGATTGTAAAATGTTTTCTTTTTGTGATTGTCTTTATGATTTTCAAGATCAATGAAAATTTGTTTGTTAAAAAATAAAATTTGTGCATTTTAGAAATTTAGTAGTTTGTTAATTTACTTATTTAGTTATGATTAGTGTTTTTTTGGTTTGTTCAACTTGCATGCCGGGGTCTCAATTGTTCTTATGAATATTTTTTAGTGTTTGGTTAAAGGATTTGATGAGGAAAAGGGAAGTGGAAAGAGACAGAATTAATAGGATTTGAATTCCAAGTTATGTTTGGTTGAGTTGAGAAATGGAGAAAGAAAAGAGGCTAACGCTGAGTTTGAGGGATTTGGAAAGGGAAAATGTGTGTGTTAGGTGAAATGTAAGTATATTTTATTCATATTTTACTTACTTTTTCCCTTTTTCTTTCTAAATCCCCCAACCAAATACAGCATAAGTAAACCTAAAAGACAAAAAGTGGGATTGCATTTCCTTCTCACTTTCTTTTCCCCTATGTATTCCATTAAAACCAAACAAAAAGTGGGATTACCTTTCCTTTTTCTATTTCTATTTCTCTCATCAAATCTTCAAACCATAGGAAAGATGGGCTTAACCCAGATCATAATACTCTGATGGTTGGAATGCTTAGTGGATAGTGGACAATCTTGGGAGCAGAAATATGGAAAACCACAGCTCTGCAAATTGGTTTTAGGAATTTAGAAATAGAACTCAAATATAATTTAAATGAACTATAGTTACTACCATAAATAGTACTTAAATTATAATTGGTTTAAAACCTAAATTCTTAAACCAATGCTCATAGGAATTTGCAGAGCATTGGTTTAGGAATATAATAGGAATTTAAGAATAGCCTTACTTGGAAAACCAATTATATTTAAGAATTTAGGTTTGAGTTTGATTTAAAATTTTAAATCTTTCATAACCCTTCAACTCAGCTTCAAAGAAAATTGATGACTATTTTTATAGTAAGGATGGATTGACCCCTTGGCGAGCATTTAGTGATATTATAGAATTTGGTTAATAATTTGTTCAATGGTAAAACTTTGACCCAATAATCTTGAGATTATGAGTTCAAGTCTCAGGCAATCACTGTGTGCACTATGCCAAATATTTGGTGTGTACTCATCATTCTCCTCCCAAACACACATTAATGTGTACTAATTGAGCGTTGTTTTTGATTTGTTCAAGCCGTTAGTAAAAGAAACTTATGTATTCGAAGTTTTTTAATTTACATTTGTATTTCAATTTTTCAAAGGGGTTGTGGAAATGATTTGGTTTCTAACTTGTATCCACTGCATGTGGGTATGGAACATAACTTACTCGTGAATTTATCGAGTTGATACACTAAAAGAGATCATTTGAATCTTCTATGTTACCCGTTGGTTGACTTGGACTATGCTACACTTTTCTAGAGTGTTTCTTAGGTATTTGGATTCTTTATAGATGTGTATCAGTTTATGCTTTTGACAATTTTGGTGATGCAAATCCTTGCACTTGCCAGCACTTCTGTTTCTTGGTTCAACTACACCAATTTTTTTTAGCCATATTCACATTTCGAAGATCTAATATAATAAGCTAATACAATTTCCAAAAGACCATTAAACAATGCCATTTTATATAGGTTCTTAAATTCTCTCTGCAAGCTTATTTAGGAAAACGATTAGAGATGGAGAACACATGCAAAGAGGAACCAGACTCTTTACCAACTGGGGTTTTCGAGCTATATGGGGAACCTGCTATTGTTATAAATGGTGTGCCTCCGTTGCCTTCAAATAATGAAACTCTAGTCCCCTGCGACATTGGAAGGGACGCTGAATCACACAGGAATGCAGGTTTCGGCGAATGGTTGAAGGGAAGAGAGGTTCGAAAGTTGTTTGGTGATCAGTTTTATAACGGAAAAGTAACCGAGTTTGACAAAGAAGCCGGTTGGTACAGGGTGGTATATGATGATGGTGATGTTGAAGATCTCGAGTGGCACGAGTTGGAAGAAGTGCTCCTGCCTCTCGACATTACGCTACCATTGAAAGGATTGGCACTGCAGATCATTCGGAAGAGACAGAGACCCACACAGAGATCCGGAAAGACCTTAACTAAATCTAGAAATCATTGAGCCAGACTCAACTCACGGCATGTGTTGTAATTTTTAGAAGATGCTCAATTTCTCATCTGGAATTTAGATGCTAGACAAGCTGTACATGTATTCACAGTATGCGATGTAAATTTTTGTGTCTCCTCTTACCCTCCCTTCCAAGGGTGGTGAGGGGATATATGATAACCTGGTTTCCCTGTTCAAAGTTCTGTAAGAAACCAGTTTGCTGATCTAAAATATAAGGTATGGCCTAGTCAAAAAAGGACTTTGCAATTGAGATGAGCCGGCTCATTTATTTTTTAAGTCTCTGTGTTTATAGATTTTGTGTGAAAAATTAGCATAATTTTATTTTGTAGATAAATAAATGGTGTATTTTAAAAAAAATAATTGTCATTCATTTATTTTAAAACAAAATCAATGAGATTATATGACTTAGGATTGTAAATGAACAAAACCATTTGTAAACATGCTCAAGTTTGAGTTTGGTTTGATAAGGATTTGTTTAAATTCGGTTTGTTAAATTTTTATAACGTTCAAGTTGGGGTTCGAATTCGTTAAAATTTTAATAAATAAACCTAAATATACCAAAGTTTGGCTCGTTAGTTTGACTTGTCAACTGACTTGTTTAACATTTGTTTAAATAAAAGAATAAATATATTATTTATATATTAAATAATATAAAAATATGTATAAAAAATAAAATAAATATGTTATTTATATATTTAAATAATATAAATGTAAATAATAGTTAAATTTATTTGTATGTAGATAATAACTAACTATAAATAATATATTTATATAATAGTTGTGGTAGATATTATTATTTTGATAAGATATTGACTTTTTTTTAGTATGTTTATGCATATTGTATACATAACTGTATAATCAAAGTTTCAATTGTAACTTTAGTCTCGTACGCAAGTATGGATGTATAATTTTTTTGGCTCATGAACATGCTTGAGTTAAGCCAACTTAGCTCAAGCTCATTTCGTTGAATTTTTATTGAGTTCGGATTCAAGTCTGAGGTTGTTAAAATCTTAATAAATAAACCAAAACATACTGTAACTCAATTCGATTCAACTCGGCTCGTTCACAATCCTGCTTCTACTATATGAGTTTAACACTCTTGTAATTTGTGGGGAAGTGGTTTTAGGAAATACTGTTCTGATCTTGGGGGACGCTCGTGATCCACCGATAGGCACCGAAAAAGAAGTAAACAATCCGGTCGGAGGTGCCGGAATTAGCACTCCGACGGAGAAGTCAATCTCTCGTTCTAGATTACTTGTATTCTAAGTTAAACACCACAATTATCACATACCTTTCTCAGTCTGTTATTCCTTTATTTATACTCGTTCTCTGGGCCTCGGGGCCAGGTCCACTTTTCACTCATTATGTTCATATTTACCCGGCTCCATAGCTCAGTACCTATTTGGCCCATCTACCCTTTATATTCGGCATCCTGATGGTTTTGGACAGAGTCGGGCAATACATGTCTGTTAAAGTATGCTTCCTTTAAAATTCGGCTCGCACAATTGCCCCCCAAATACCCTTCTAGCATCAGTTAGTTGGCGTGTTTGGTTCCTGATTTGGGAAAACAGAAATTCGGCGGTTAATCCTCTTCCCGATGCATGTCAGGACGCGTACATGCTTTTCGGTCACTATAACACCTTCCCGCCACATTCGTGCTTCTCTCGCATTTATTATGATTTGAAGTTTAAGTCCCTTCGAACACATACTTTTTCGAATATTTGAACCTTCTGGACCGCCTATCGGTATTTCTTCCCCGACGTATTTTCTGCAACTCCTCTCCGTCTTCTTCTCGTTCCCTTTGCCTCTCGTAAGTCTTCTTCTCTTTTCTTTGCAATCTTACTTTCTATATTTATTTTTTGCTTTAGAATATCCTTGAGTTCTCTCTAGAATGGCTAAGCATTTGAAAGGCCTCTTCTCTGAGGGTCGAATTTTTGGATTCCGAAAACATTTCTCTATTCTTGATGATGTTCATCTATCTCTAGTAACGGAGAGTACCCTGGATATGGAGAGGGATGACCCAAATACAATCGTGTTCCCTCTCCTGTCCATTGCGGAGAGTGGCGTTCGCTTTCCCCTACATCCATTTCTTATGGCCATCCTCCGCCACTGGGATCTGATTCCCTCGCAACTCAATGTGAATTTCTTTTGAATCGTAATGGGAATTGTTGAATTGAACCGACGCCTCAGGATCAACTTGGGCGTTCCTGCGATTCGGCATTGCTACGCTTTAGCCAAATCCTCCGGTCGGCTCGGGCGTTACTTTCTCAGGGCCAGGGACACTGACCATCACTTGGTAACCATGCTTGCTAGCTCTGGCAAACGAGTTGATGATGTAATGGTCAATGTTCGGGGCAACTGGGAATTCGGCGAAGGCGAAGATCGCCCGGACCCTATTCCCAGACGCAGGGGTGAACCAGGTTACCGTGTGATTCCTTGTTTGTTGAACTGTCTTTTATTCGGCTTCTTCTCCAAATATAATCCTCCGTTTTTGCAGGCAATAAGTTGAAGAGGGTTCTGACCTCGGCTGACGACGCAGTACTTTCGGACATTAACACTGCGCTAAAGTATTTTGGCTGTCCAAACGTACAGAAACAAGGCAGAGCCGCCCATGTTCTTCTGAGGTACGAGCCTACCTATACTACGTTCTCGGCCGCAGACAACATTCCAATCCCAACCGGCGAACAACACCATACGGCTTTTATCTTCCCCAGCTTCAAGTCCCCTGAGACAGATTGGTCTTGAGACTTTCGATTTGGAGCAAGACTTAGAATCGGAAGTCGAGGTGGTCGCCGAATCAACTAGGGAGTTCATTACCGAGGCTGAAGAGGTCGACGAAGCTCTGAAATCAGCGTTTGAAACTGCCGGTCTTATCCAGCCTAACTCACCGTCCATTTCGGGTCAGGTAGAGTTTTCTTTCAGAGACATCTTTACGGATTTGGGGGTATAGCGATCCCGGTTTCCCTTTTCTTTACTTGTTATATACAGACTTGGGTTCCGTGGAGCTAGTTGTTGAGAGTATGTTGTTTGCACCCTTTAATCCTTATTTTGAGTCTTGGGTTGTGTTGGGAAGATTTGGAGCAGGTTGGTTGAGCTTAGGAATCAAGTCTAGTTGCCCAGATTTTGGCTTGTTCGCTCGAGCGGGGGTTTGGACGCTCGAGCGGGGAATACACCCATCCAGTATGTCCTGTGTAGTGTTGGCCGCTCGAGCGGGGGATTGGACGCTCGAGCTGGAAGTCGTGAGTTACGCTCGAGCGGGGAGTTGGGCGCTCGAGCGGGGACCTGTCTGCAAAAACTTCTGGGAGTGTTCATTCGCCGCTCGAGCGGGAGTTTGGCCGCTCGAGCGGGAGTTTGTGAGTGGCGCTCGAGCAGGGGTTTCCACGCTCGAGCGGGGCGACTGGTATAAAAATCCGAGATCCGACTTTCTGGGTCATTTTTCATCTCATTTTTGATTTTAAAACCCTAGAACCGTCTTCTCCCTCTCCCTACACACCTTCTCTCTTAGGTTTGATCTACTTTGAGTGTATTTCTACCCTAAGTCCTTTGTTAAAAAGATGGAGTGGGTCGAGGGCTTCCGTTTAATCTGAACAATCTTGGGTCTGGAGCACTTTGGTTTTCGTTATCTTCTCCATTCGAGTTCTTCGCTTCAAGGTAGGGATTTCCTACTCCATTCTATAAGTTTTGTTCTAAGTTTTGGTATTTTGATATGTTGGGGATACTTTGGTAATTTTGGGAAAAACCCTAGTTGTATTATTAAATTAATTTGTATAATTAATTCATGGAATTGGGAAAAGATGATTAAATTCATGGAATTGGGGAATTCATTAATTAAATGGCGTAGTGGGTTAATTTAAATCACTCGTCTATTGAATTGTTGGTATATTTATTTCCAAGTCTAGAAATAACTGTTTTGGGCTATCGGTAGAGGATAGTCGTGTTTGTTGTAGACATTGCATGTGAATTACGGAAAATTGAAACTAATCAATTTGTTTAAGTCATAAATTTAGACTATTGAATTAATACAGAAAATACATGTATTGATGACTGTTGAATTAATACAGAAAATACATGTATTGATTGTGTGTTGTACATGACAAGTGTTTAATACATTCTAAACCGGATTTTGTTTGGGAGGAGATAGGGGATGGACTCCATTAGCATCACTTTTATGTGTGCTTGTTTATATTGAAGTGTTTTATTGATACAGCACTAAAATGTGTATCAAACTGGAAGTATAAAGTTTTGATTTGAGCTTGAGTCTCATCTGTTTGTTGACACTGGATGAATGTGAATATATTATGTATGGTTCACTGTTGTAAGATTGGCCAGGTTTTGAGCCATATTGATAATGTTGGAAAGTAAAACATGTCTTAGGCATTACTGTCATGAGACTGCAAAATGATGTAATTGATTATCTTGGTTAACCATCTATTGAATGCTATTGCTTTATTCAATGCTTATTTTTGGTTTAGTATATTTCTACTGGGCTGTGGCTCACCCTTTATGGGAACATCATTTTCAGGTCCAGGTGATAAGCTACCTCCCAGGACTTAGCTTGGAAGGATTTGGAATTTGAAGACTATCTTTAGTTGTTTGTTTTTCTTTGATAAATAATCAAGCCTAGGGCTTTATTTGTATTTGAGTTAGGACTCATATTTTGTATCCAAGTGTTGGCTTGGAAAGATGTAAGCCCATAGGGCATTTAATTTGACGTTACATGTAATGTTTTTATTTAAGTAATACTCTGATGAATGAATTAATAAATTGTTTTCTTTAAGTAATGCATGTTGATGATATACATATGATGGGTTTATTTTGAGGGCGTTACAGGGGGACCGTCCCAACAATTTTTCTAAAGGCATGGCTGGGGAAAATCTCATGCAGATGGCGAGAAAGAGAAATGCCGAGTGAATGGCCGCTCGAAAGAAGGCAGAGGCCGCTCGTTCTGAGCCTACCCCGGTTGAATCTTTACAACCCGTTACTGCGAAAGAAACGGGTTAAATCGTTTTGGATGAGACAGAGAGGGAGGCTGAACAGCAGGTCACGGAAGAATGACTGGTTCGTAAAGAACGAGGCAAAAAACGTAATGCCGAAGGAGACGCAGGCTCGGAGGATAGTCTTGTTGGCAAAAGGCCTCGTTTAGAGGAGTCCGACGTGATTGTTCCTTTTGTTGTTCAACCAAAGATAAAAAACATGCCAATCTCTAATGCCGTATCCGTCATAAAGGATCCGGCCGTAGCGTTGAGCTTGGCTACCTCAGTTTCACTGCCGGCTGA